TAGGAAATCACTGCCCCTTTCCAAGAAATAACATGAACAATCCTCCTCTGCTTAGCCTATAATTAAACTGTTGCTTAAATTAAAAAAAAAAAATCAAAAGAATCAAGGTGCTGTTCCTCCCAGCAGGGAGAACCAGCCTCCACTCAGTCTGGAGAACAATCTCCACCTCTGAATAAAACTTGCTTTACTTTTACGCTGTCTGCTCACTCTTTAATTCTTTCTCACACAAAGCCAAGGACCCACTTGGACTCCCAGTGGATCCCGGCATTGAGAACCACCTTCATGTGATACTCCCGTGTAGGAGATGAGAGGACGTTTTCTAATAAACGTGACCAGCCAGAAAGAGAAATCTCTGCCAACAAGATGGCAGAAATATCACCCTACAGCGGAGCTCAGTCACCAAACCCCACTGATGTCTACTCAGACCCTCCCAAAATAAACAGGAGGGAGAACAACGGGCGAGGGGAAGCCACTCAAAGCTAACGGAAACCATGCAGGAAGAAGACATTTAAGTGTATAGTTAAGACCCTTAGAAAGGATTAGATACTGCTTTCATGGAACTAGAAGAGAATGCTATGAAAGAGGGGAGAAGGAGAGAGAGAGAGAGGCAGAAACTGACTCAGAAAACTGAGGACTGAACTCTGATCTTTTTCTTTTGCTCAAAACTCCTTCCTAAGGAGGCCAGCTGAGTCAGGCTGACAAATGGTAAATTCCCACTAAGCAGATTTTGTTAACCAAATAAAGCAGTGGTTTACTTCCCAACCTGATTCCGGTATAGCATTAACATCACCTAAAAGATAAAAAGCCCCTATCTTAACTCAAGCATCCTAGCAGATGCCTTATCTTAAACTAGGAACATTCTCCGGTCTGGACCTCCCAGAGTGCTCACACCTTTATCTTAAATTAAGCATATCCTTTCTGGTCTTTTAGATAAAGCCTAACTCTCTCAACCAATTGCCAACCAAAGAATCTTTAAACACACCTATTGTTAGGGACCGGCTTCCTGCACCCCGCCAGGCAGACGAACAAAGACACCAAGGATGCAATTACTCAAGAGGAGCTTTATTTTCTGGCTAGCCAGGGTCTAGGCCCTAGAGTGCCAGCGCAGTGGCCGCTCTTACAGGCAAGGACCCTGACCAAAGCTGGGGCTCCCCTTTTATCCCCCCACCCTCTTGAACACCCGCGCTGTACAAGCTGATTGTGCGTGTTAGTCTTTAAAATGATTGGTGGACTGGTAGCCCACCGGCGGCAAAGGGGGCTTTCTCCCTTATCTGGCCCCATACCTATGCGTCCAGCTGCAAGCAAGCGATTCTCAGAAGCAGAAATATGCGTTTAGCCGATAGCTCTACCTTTGGGCCCCAAGCTAGCAGTTTCCAGGAGCCGATTACTCCTCCCCTGGGCCCATTTTCTGTTATCCGGGCTCGCACAAGTGAGCCAGCAGCTTTGGGGTGCAATCAGGCCCTTACACTATAACCTGTAAGCCCCCCCCCCTTGAGATGTCCCATCTCTTTGGGCCAAACCAATGTACGCCTCCCACGTATTGATTTATGGCTTTATCTGTAACCCCTGTCTCCCTGAAATGTATAAAAACCAAACTGTAACTCAGCCACAGCAAGTCCACTTACCCAAGGCCTCTTTGCAGTGGCTCCGGGTCATAGTCCTCAAATTTGGCTCAGAATAAATCTCTTTAAAATTATTTTACAGAGTTTGGCTTTTTCCATTGACAAAACAAAGAAATCTTTATATTAAAATTGTGATAGCAGATAAAAGGGCTGGTAGATAAATTTGAAGAAATCTCCCAAAAAGTAGAACAAAAGTGAAGAGAGGTAGCAGATAGAAAAGTGTAAGGAAGCTGTAAGGCCAGTCTAGGAAGTCAAACATCCAAATACTAGCAACTGCAGAAAGACACAAACAAGAAACAGAAGAGGGAAAATTAACAAAATAATTCTGGAGCATTGCCCAGAAGTAAAGTTGTGTGTTTGCAGATTGAACAATCACAAGAGCCAGGCACTAGGGTGAAAACAGAGGCTCCCTAAGGTATCATGCAAGTGTAGAACCACAGGCAAGAAGAAAATGTGGCGAGTTTGGAGAGAGAGGAATAGGCCACACTCACTGGGCTACGGGTCTCAATGCAGTCTTACCTCTCAATCATAACAACCATAACAAGGAACAAGAAAACCAGGGAAAGTGCCTTCGAATCACTGAAGGAAAATTGCTTTCAAGCTAGATTCTACACCAGCTAAGCACGCACTAAGTACACGTACAATAAAGGCATTTCAGATATGTGAGGCCTCAAAAAGTTTGCCTCCCATATAACTCCTTCTCAGGAAGCTATTAGAGGATGTATTCCAACAAAACAAGGGAGTAAACCAAGAAAGAGAATAACAAGAATGAGGAACTCAATGCAGGAGAGAAAGTCGTGGAATAGCATTGAGATAATTCCAAAGGCCAGGTTGACAGCCAAGTACAGAGAGGTAGGAAGACTCCAGAATAGATTTCCTCGAGAAGATGGAATGGATAGACCACTTGATGTGTCTCAATATCTCAAGAGGAGACTTGGATAACTAGTGGAAAGTTTGGGTTAGACTACTTATAGGTACTTAGCAGTTCAGGCTGCTATAACAAAATGCTATAGGATGTTTATAATAATAGAAATTGATTTCTCAGTTCTGTAGGCTGAGAAGTCCAAGATCAAGGTGCCAGCTGATTCGCTATCTGGCAAGGGCCTGCTTTTGGTCCATAGATGGCACCTTCTTGTTGTGTCTTCACATGGTGGAAGGGGTGAAGGGTCTTTTTTATATGGGCACGAATCCCACTCATCAGGGCTCTACTCTCCTCCCAAAGGCTCCTAATATCCACCTCCTAATATCATCACCTTGGGGACTAGGCTTCAACATACAAATTATGGGGGACAGAAACATTCAGGGCATAGCAGGTCCACTGTAAAGAAAAAAACAAAGCAAACAATCAGATAAGAAAATTCTGAACCAAACATGCAGGAGAGAAGAGTAATCCTAGTTTACTAAATGGCTCAAAGGCTCTGGACAGCTTACAAAGTAGAGGCAGTTAAAACTGAGAATCTTTTCAGCCAAAATTGGCATAAGATGCCGCATTGGAAGGGATTTAAGGAAAACCCAGCGGACTTCCAAGTGTATAAAGTCAGCCTGAGTCGGTCTAGCCCAACAGAGTGTTAGTCCTCCTGGTCCGCAAGCCTGTCATCGTCTTCCTCCTTGCTCTGGGATGTCTGTGTGCTCGGGTGGTGGGAGGGTGCGTGCATGCGTTTTCCCTCTGTGGCTGCCCCCCACAAGCACACTGGAGCGACCAGCACTTCTCCAGTCTTTCCGGGGTTTGCATGAGATCCCAGCAGTGGCTGGGCCTGTTTTTTGTTTTTGTTTGTTTGTTTGAGACAGAGTCTCACTCTGTTGCCCAGGCTAGAGTGAGTGCTGTGGCATCAGCCTAGCTCACAGCAACCTCAAACTCCTGGGCTCAAGCGATCCTCCTGCCTCAGCCTCCCCAGTAGCTGGGACTACAGGCATGCGCCACCATGCCCGGCTAATTTTTTCTATATACTTTTAGTTATCCAATTAATTTCTTTCTATTTATAGTAGAGGTGGGGTCTCGCTCTTGCTCAGGCTGGTTTCAAACTCCTGACCTTGAGCAATCCACCCGTCTCGACCTCCCAGAGTGCTAGGATTACAGGCGTGAGCCACCGTGCCTGGCCTAGGGCCTCTCTTGAGAGAGAGGGAGCAGGTGAACTGCAAGGACGCAGGATGGCCAGGCTAGGAAGGAAGCAGCCCAGCCCTGCATCAGGACCCCCAGCTCATGGAGCAGCCTGTGCTTGGATACAGGACGCCACAGTTACGAACCCAGTGCGTTGATTTCAACACATGTAGCAGACAAGACACCTGCAGAGCTGTGTTTCTCAGATGCCAGTGCCCAAAGGGCTCACTGGGGACATCTCCATGGGACATGGGCCTGGGGTGGGTCACAGTGCTGCAGTTGTCACAATCCCTACCCCAGGGTCCCTGTGCCACCTTTCCAGATGGCCTCCACTCATCCAGAACCACACTGAGGCCAGGAGGGTTGTAAAGGTGGAAAGCAATACGTACTGACAGAAAAAAAGGTGTGTGGCTTTAGTGGGACACATAGATGTACTAAGACATCCATGGTGGCTCTGGCTGACATGGCTGACAGGACTTTTTCCACAACAATCATGTACTGCTTTTGTAATACAAGTGGCACAAAGCACCTGCAAAAACAGCCATGCATGTGTAGTTCTCTGAGAGAAGGCTGGATGCACCATGCCTTACAGCAAGAACGATTAATTGTTACAGATGTGATATTAAAGAACATGTCTTCAAGTAGCAGTATTTTAAAGGGCATATCACTCTCTCACCATGGGTGCGGGGAGGCTCACTCCCTGCAGGGCTGGTCCAGCTATGGGCATCCTATCCTGGACGCTTCCCTCCCTCTAAGCGTCCCAACGCAAGATGCTCCAGTCCTTGATCATCAACATGGTTCTTGGACTCGGTGTGGCACTTACAAGAATATTTACCAGGAGGGTATTTCTCTACCTTTTAAGAAAAGTCTGTAGTCATGGTTCACACACACACACACACACACACACACACACACACACACACACACAGTTTGTGGACATTCTGCAGGCAAGGTATGTCCACGTGCCCTTCAAGAATGTGTGATGAGATTCCAGAAAAATGGCAGACTAGGGGTGACCTCCCGGCCCTCTGCTCCCCACAGCAGGAGGTGGAGAACGCAGACAGCCACTCGAGTGGCTCACTCTCCCACTGGATCGGCGCCGCGAACCTGCAGAGAAGCGGCGCGGGACAAGCAGCACTGGAAAGGAAAAGGTGAATCGGAGAATCGACAAGCTACAACCTTTGATAAATAAAGCAGTTTACATATTATATTTGCTGCCTAACTCTTTTTCCTCCTATTGGCACTTAGTTTAGAATGAGCAAAAAGGCAAGTAGGGCTGCTCGAGGTGGAAACAGGCTTGTTTATTTATTATTACAAAGCATACAGTCTGCGAACTTTATTAATATAGTTATAAAAGTATATCATTAAAACAAATAGATCACCAGAAAATATATCAATAAATACATCATTTTACCTGAAGAGATCTGTACAATTAAATGTTTTGCATAGACTTCGGGCAGCTCAGCGTGAATACATCAGGGTTCTTCTTAAGCACAGGTGGATAAAGCTACGCAAAGAATAAAAGAAATAACTATTAATACAAACAAGCTGCAGGATCAAAACAGGGGGCATTATTTCCTGAGCAGCATTGACTTTCTACCACAGCTTCAAGCTTCTGCTCTGAAATTGCAATGAAATAAAGGCAACAGGGGAGAGAAATCCACACCTCCCCCTTGCAGCACCTGTCTCGGCCCTCTGAGATGCCGCCCGCTTCAACCGGAGAAGTTCTGAAAGACATCCGCTGCCTCCACCCAGCTCCGGAAGCAGGCCAGCCCCCACTCCCGGATCTGCTTGCGCCCTTTGCTGGTGATGACCTCCCCATTTTGCTTCACAATCACAAGCTTGGGGGTGGCTGTGATGTTGTACCTCTTCCTCAGCTCACTGCAGGAGAGAAGAGGGGACCAAAGGGTTAGCACTTCCACCCCAACTGCCACATGGGTACAGTCACCAGCTTACCCGGGAGCCACCTTTGCGCGCCCCCCTGCCAGGTTGGTGGAGTCCTTTCCTTCTGGGTGCTGTCATTTCTAGCCTGGTGCTGCCCCAGAGAACAGCCGCAGCCAAGCAACTGCTCTGGATCTGAGCCACCCAAGCCCACAGCAACCAGCCACACGGGGCAAGCATACCTAAGGAACCAAAGCTTTCACTTTAACTAAATGAAAATTTAAGTGCTCACAAATGACTAATGGTTACCAGATTGGACAGCATAGGTCTAAACCCACAAATAAACCCAATAATTTTTTATATCCTTCTCTACATCTTAAGAGGTTGGAAAACATCAGGTACATATAATGGCAAAAGTTGAAGCTCCCTAAGTTCTAAATAAATCCAAAGCCTTATTTGACTTTCTACCCTACAAATTCAGCAAGGTGCTGATCAGCGTTACTATGGATGAAACGTCTCTTAGCTACATCGTACCGCCATCTGCAACTCTGTGAGTGGCCTCTCCACACAATCATTTCTGTTCATTTAGGGAAAGAAGCATCTGCCTTAGTTTTGCAATTCTCCTCACAACCCTCACAGGGATTGCCTCCCAGAAAACAGGGCCAGGAGTGAAAATCCCTGTCCTGTTTACCGGCCAGGGGCCCCAGGGACGGTAATCTGCTTTCGCTGCTCTGCTGCCCTCAGGACCGTGCACCGGAGGGAGCAGGAGAAAGGCGCTCGAGACTTGTGTCCAGGTCTTCCTGCTGCCGCCTGGCACCGGGCCGAGACAAACCTTCACACAAACACGAAAGGTGCATGGCCGCTACACTCCAGAGAGAGAAGATACTTCATTCCCAAACATCCAGGAAGCTTTGACAAAACCAATTATGTTCTCAATCACAAAGGCAATCTTAATAAATTGATTAAATCTTAATAAAATGATCGATAACATACAGACCACCTAATCAGACCACAGGGGAACAGAACTGGAGAACAGTAAGAAATCATTTTTAATGATGAGTTTAAAAACTGACTATAGGTGGGTCGCGGTGGCTCACGCCTGTAACCCTAGCACTCTGGGAGGCTGAGGTGGGCGGATTGCTCGAGGTCAGGAGTTCAAAACCAGCCTGAGCAAGAGCGAGACCGCTTCTCTACTATAAATAGAAAGAAATTACTTGGCCAACTAATATATATAGAAAAAAACAGCCGAGCATGGTGGCGCATACCTGTAGTCCCAGCTACTTGGGAGGCTGAGGCAGGAGGATCGCTTGAGCCCAGGAGTTTGAGGTTGCTGTGAGCTAGGCTGACACCACAGCACTCACTCTAGCCTGGGCAACAAAGCGAGACTCTGTCTCAAAAAAATAAATAAATAAAAATAAACAAATAAAAACTGACTATATGGTGTATATGAAATAGCAATGCAGAGGACAAAATATTTAAAATAGAGCAATATAGAATACAGTACAAATCCCAAGCTGTAAATACAACCAAATACACTTATCCAAAACTCATACGTAGATGAGTTATGGATTTAATTCACAAAGCTAGAAAAAGAATGGTGGAGCAAACACAAAGAAAGTAGAAGGATAGCAAAATAAGACTGAGAACAGAAATTACAGAAAGAGGTGACGAACCAGTGAAGATCCACACGGGGTACGGATGAAACCCAACCCGGTTCTCAGGCAAAGCTAAAATACGAACTAAATCCCTACGGGTAAGGAGCGAGGGCAAAAGAAGGCACCAGGATATCAGGAGGTCAGCAGGCCGGGCCCCACAGAGACCCAGAGGGACGAGCCCGCCTGCGGGCGCTGGCAGATGGCCCGGCCTCCCCTGGCACAGGAAGGCTGCCAGGGCAGGCAGCTGGGGACCCGAGACAGCCTGCCTGCCTGAGCAGCTCCCATGGTGTCCAAGGACTCCCACGGGGAGGGAAAGAGAAAGTAGGAGGAAGAAAGAGGTAAACTAGTCTATAAAAACCATCACACAAAGTAAAAGGACACTTTCAGCAGGGACTGCTCTGCTGAAACTGTATTTGCAGAACTGACAAACCAAAGCCCGAAATGCGGAGCATAAACAAATCGGTGTCAGAGGTTTGCGCCTCCCAGTCACGAGTGCTCAGAGTGCTCAAGACGGACAAGGGGCGAGTGCTCAGAGTGCTCAAGACGGACAAGGGGCGTGAAACTCACCGCAGGGATCTCAGCCGCCGAGCCTGGCTCTGGCAACCGCGGTGGTGGGCGTGAAAGACACGGCGGACGCCTTGTCCCCTCTACTGTTTTAAGACTCCTGCACACATCTGAAACTTGAAATGCCTACGAAATTAGTTTTTCCCAATGGCATAGAACAAAAATGTGAAAAAAAGATAAATAACCCAAGTAGCTCTTTGCATAAAGACTGCACCAAAACGGCCAGCAGTATAACTTAAGCTCTTTATCTGCTAGTTTTGGCAAATCCGTTATTTCAGCCCTTGTACTTCAGGCAGCGGGACAGGACAAGACAGCACACCATGTTTGAGAAAGGGAAGCCTGGCAGGGCTCTGTCATCCCGAGGACATGGGACCTCATCCCCAAGGCTATGAGGAGTCCCAGGAGGGCTGAGGGTGAGCAGGGTGACAGCAGCAGCACCTCAGCCACAGATTCCTGAGCCACGAAGGTCTGGCTCAGCATCTGCTCTCCCGGCAGCCCCTGGGAGATGCGGGTGCCGCGCCAGCCTTTGCTTAGCACTGTCTTAGTGACGGTGCTCCTCGACGTGGGGGCCCGGGACCAGCAGCCTCAGTGCCACCTGGGAACTCATCAGAAATGTGTCACTCCACCCTGACTGGGGGTGCAGCCTGCGACCCCGTGCGTGATGCTCAAGTTTGCCGGCCCTGCTGGCAGGGCTTCCTGCAGCCCCTGTGCTGACCGGGAGAAGGGAGCCTGCACACGTGACCCCACAGTGGGGGCAGCACAGGCCTGCAGTTGGCCGCTCAGCACCCAGCCCGTCCTGGAGAAACCATGTCTCTTCCATTTTCCCACATGGATCAGCCACGTGAGCAAGCTGGTTCATCTCCTGTCCCTAGATTCCTCATCAGCACCCATGAACAATATAATCCACCTCCTGGGGCGGTTGTGAGGATTAAATGATTAGTACATGAACAACTTAACAAAAGATGGGGTTGGACCCACAGTAAGTACTCAATAAACACTGGCTTTTCTTATTGTGTAGGAAGGACCCATCTTCCACTCCGGCTGGGTCTACTGCTCAGCCGCCATATCTCATGGCCCTTGGCTACACTAACTAGTACAGAAATGGGTGACTACCAGACTCAGAACCAGTGAGGCTCCTTAAGCACTTCCCTGTATGCTAGAAAAGAGGAGGTGCGGGGACATGCAGGCCAAGACACAGCAGCCATTCTGCCACCAGGAGAAGGGGCTGGATTTGCTGGGCAGCCACCGCCTGCAGCCCAAGAGCGAGGCACAAGTGGCAGAAGGCAAGCCACAAAGTGCACCCTCAGCCTCCCTGGAGACCAGCTTCTGGATGCTGGGTGTTTCATTTAAGTCAGCCCATAACCTTCCTTGTTTCATCTCTTTGAGTTGCTGCTGCCATTGCTTTAATGCCTTGCAACATTAAACGGGGCTCTGACACAGCTGGGGGTGTGCTACAAGCTGGGCACTGAGAATTAGAAAGAGGCGTCTGGCGGCCAGGCTGATCTTCAAAGAGACACCCAGTATCAGCCCTCAATCCCCACTTGGCAGCCTCTGCCTGGGGACACATGTAACCTTGGAACTGCACAGGAGAGGCAGATAGCCACCTCCTCCCCTGAAGTCTCGATCCCCTCTGGGCACTGAGCTGTGTCCACAGAGAAGAGAATACCGTTGGAGGAAAGAGCACTGTCAGAAGCATTTTAACCATTTTGGGAAAATTCAAGAGCCCAGTTCCTCCTTGTCCTCACAGACACGGTAGCAACTGACGTTAGTCCCTGCCTTCGCTAACCCAGCCGCATCCTTGTCCCTGGCATAACTGAGCTTCTGGGTTGCTATGGCAACCCCTGGCTCCAGTCTCTTTCCATGTCAGGCAGCCGCAGACTGCTGCCGCGCAAATCGCTCTGAAGCACTGTCTTTCGCTCGCTTGCTCCAACCACCCACCGAACATGCTCCCTGTGGTGTCAGGCACTGAACAGCCATGTCTGGCTCCTCCTGCGGACAAGGAAACCCAGGAAAGCCCTGAAGGGTTGGGGCAAGGCGCGGCCAGCGCAGATTAGTCTCTGAACCAACAGCGGATTAGGTGGGGACACCAAGGCCCTGGAGAGCAGTTAGGGGAATATTCTAACAGCCCAGCACCTGAGTGGAGACATAGCAATGAGAAGAAAAACAGAGAAGGATCTGGGAGCCACAGAATCAGTGGATTCAGGGATGCACTGAATCCAAAGGGCGCAGGGGCAGCTAGAGCACTGGGCTAGAGAGGGGCAAGGGGTGGAAAGACAGAGCCAGGAGTCACCGGCGTGAGCACTGCCTCTTCCCCACTGAGCCATTCCCTGCCCAAGAAATGAAGTTGTGGCCAATTTTCTTTTCTATCAAATCCAAACTCATCGGCCTAGAAGTTCAGGTGTTCCAGTAGCAGCCATGGCAGGGGAGGCAGTGGTCAGAGCCTGGGCACGCAGGCGGAGGGCCGACCCCTCCAGTCCTCCTTGAGGTCCACTGAGGCTCCAGCAGCCAAGTGGGGACAAGAGTTGTTACGAGGCAATCATTATAAAATCCCACAAAATCGCCATTGCTCGTCTCTTGTGAACAGCAGCATGCAACAGGAATTCCTGCTGCTGATCTCAGAACTTGTTACTTCACTCTTGGACAATGAGTTTTACTCATAAACCCAGTAACAAAGGGAGAGAAGGCAAGGCGGGATGGAACCGCATCCTGAGAAAATACTGCCAGAGAGTGCTGGCGTCTGTCCCCACGCTAAGGACAGAGAAGGGTCAGCCTCTCCTCTCAGCCCACCTGCACTTGGGCACCTGGGCAAGGAAGTGACAACCCCAGCCAAACGCCCACATCTCCAGTTTCAGGGATGTCATAAGCAGCTGCCTCTCTGGGGACTGGAGGCGGCACTGTGTTGTGCGTTTGGGGCAGGGAGACGCCAGAAAGGCTGGTATCTACACAGCTCTGAGGACAGGCGAGGGTCTGGGCACCGTCTCCCTGCAGACGCATGCGCAGCCTGCTCTGCCCAGCTGTGCCACGGGTGCCTCACAGCGATGTCTTTGGAAGCAGCTGTTTTCCTTCTCCTCCCTCAACTCGGTGGGTCTCCAGGAAGTCAGTGGAGACGGCATGACGAGCTGAAGCCCCCGAGGGAAGGCACCATGGGTCACTTCACCACGCACTCTCCAGGGTGCTCCTGCAACGTCACCGTCCTGGGCTCCCCTGTCCACACGCCAACCACACAGTGTCACGTTCTGCACACATTAGCAACTTCCCAAATGCCTTTGGGATGCTTTGCACAGTTTTCTTTCTTCCTGGCAGTGGCTATTTCCATTTTGCTCATGATCCAATTCCATAAATCCTGGCTGGGACAAGCAGAACTTGGGGTGTGGTTGCAACAATTCCCACAGAATATTCCCTCGTTCCAGCTTACACATGACAACAACAAGTTCACGAAGTCCAGTCTGGAAAGGGGCAGGGACAAATAGCTACGTCCACAAAAAGAAAATCCCCTCTGAGGAGAAGAGCAGGCTGAGAGGACCAGAGTGACAGCCGCCAGTGCCCGAGCTGAGCTGCTCTCCGGACCCCTGGAGCTCACAGACGCTGACCAGATCAGCGGGGGACAGGAGCCCCCATGGCCTTCCCAAGCGAGTCTGTGCCGAGGGGCCAGGCCTATAGCTCCCTCAGAAAGGAAGTCAGCCAGGGCGCAAAGGCGACCGGAACCAGGGGCTCTGGACTCTGTGCCTCAACGGCACATCCGCCAACTGAGGCGCTAGACCAGTGCAGGTCCCTAACCCGGCGACCCGTGAGCCTTTCAGGTATCAGGTCAATCCTGACAATAATCACGTGATGTATCGTTATGCTCCACAATAAAACACCTTGCCTTGCCTGCCATCACCCAGTGGGTAAATCCTAGTTCTGTGCTCAATCACTAACACTGCCACAATCTCCCTGTCAAGACTCTTCTTTCAAAAGCTACCCATAACTTGAGTGCTAAGCACTTGAAGTGATTCTGAGAATCCTCTGCAAAGCAAACCGCGGGTCACTTAGACTTAGCACCAATAAGACTTTCATAGTGTGGCCTGGTGTGGTGAGCCTCCAGGAAGCGCCACCCACCTGGAGGGCTGGGCTGCTTCCTGCCTGGGCTCCCCTCTCCCTCACAACCACCAAAGCCATGTGTTAGGGAGAATAACCAGAACTCTTCCAGTTAATTACTCTTCCACAGAACTTTCCAGAGTTAGCTTCCACTTTTCATTTTCCAGAAGGAATGTCATCTCATGACAACTAATTTGGCAGGTAAAGCCACAACTGGATGAGGCAGGCCTCCGTACAGAAACTCACAGGGGCACCTCCTCAGGGGTGGGCTGGGACAACGCGCCTTTGTGGGGTGCGATTTAACCCTAAGTCAGGACTCTTACACCACAGGAGACCCGGATGCCCAGAGCGACGGGTCCCCTGCCATGCTCGCCCTGCGCCTACCCCTGCCTCTCCCGCGTCCTTAGTGAAGCACCAAGCTCAACCTCTGGTTCTTTGCAAAGTCTAAAATTCCAACACAGAGCTGGTGATTTCCACCGGACATCTCTTTCTAAAGCAAGGGTGGGTTCAAAGGTCCCTTCAGAGAGATTTTTGTCACCTCTGACATCTGCCTCCTCCTAGTTCTTCCTACACTTACAGTAACGAAATTTATAGTAACGAGTTTTATACCGTATAGTCATAAAATTCCATCGCTGCCAGTAAAAATGAAATCCAAAGGCGGCCAGCACCTGGGCCCTGGGCCCCTGCCTCCCAGCACAGCCTCCACCGCCTGCACTGCGGGTGCCTGTCACCCTGCGGGTGGCCTCCCGGTCACCGACCCGCCCCCGCCGCTCCCAGACACTGAGCGGTGGTCATCCCCGTGCCCCCACCCACTAGGGCAGGAGGATCCGGCGGTGTGGGCCCCGGGCCACCTGGGGCAGTGGCTCCGGACAGGGCGCGGACACCCGGCATCTGCAGCCCGCAGCCCCAGCCCGTGGGGTGCCGATGCTCGGGTTTTGCGAGCCCAGTCTGAGCCCTCCCCGTCCTGACAGGAAGCTGGAACAGAGGCTGAGTGTGACTAACCCGGCGGGACGGGGAACGGGATCTGAGAGAGCTCGCAGGAGAGGCGCAGGAGAAGGCCTGGGGGACCCCGCCCCGCAGAGCCCGCACTCACTGCCGGTAGGGGTCGTGGAAAGGCAGCGCCAGCCAGGCGCCGTGCAGCTCGCGCATGAAGGCCAGCATCTCCTCGGCGCTGCCGTCGGCCGACACGAAGACCACCTCGAAGGGCGCGGGCCGCCGCGCCTCGCCCACCAGCGCCGCGTGGAAGGCGCTCAGCAGCGGCGTGAAGTCGCGGCTGGGCGCGCACCGGCCGGCTGCGAAGTACAGCGCCACCACCTTGTTCTGCAGCGCCGCCTCGGCCTCCACCGCCGCACCGTCCCGGGTCACCAGGCGCCGCCCGCCCAGCACGTCCGCCATGGCGCGGTCGCACGGCCACCTGCGGCCCGGGGACGCCAGCGGGAGGAGGACCACCTGCGGGCGGGCGGCGGCGGCGAGCGCTGCGGTGCCCAGCCTCTGTCTCCACCGCCGCTCAAACCTCCCCAGCTGCGCCCCACCTGGGACCCCGCTCGGACCTCGGCCCGGGGCGTGCTGTGGCCGCGCCAGGGGAGTCCGCGCTGGGAGAGGGACTCTCGCAGCACCGCGACCCAGACGCTGAGGCAGTGGCTACAGCGCGGCACCTGCCCCCGATACCTAACCAGCCGGGCCACCCGGCGCCCTGCGCTCCCGCGCCCTCCTACCGCTGCGCCCCGCCCCCGCGGCGCCCCGCCCAGGGCGCTCTGGCCCGAGCTCAGTCCACCGCCCTCCCCGCAGCGGCGCGCCCCGGGCCCGCCCCACTCACCTCCGGAGCTCGAGCGAACCACGCTCTCCGCCCTGCTCTCCGCCCTCTCCGTTCTCGCCCTCCCTCTCTGCGCCCCTCGCGGCCCCACCCGCAGCCCCGCCCTGGCACCTCCTTACTCGCCTGGTGCTCCTGCCCGGCCTGCGCTCCCCGCCCCGCTGCCCGTGTCCCGCCGCCGACTTCCTAGTGCTTTTGAACCCTGCTTTGGGACTCCTGCCGCTGCCCAGAAGGAGAATGGGGAGGGTGGAGCGACGGGGGAAGAGGAGGGGTCGTTGGGCTTGGAGCGGGCCTGGGCGGCGTGGTGGGGAACCAGGGCTCTGATCTTTCTGGGCGTTTACCCCTGACATCCTGGGCCCTGGCTGGGAGGGTTCCTGGAGTTCTGGAAGAAATTGGGGCGGATCTTAAGGAATGTTTTATTTGGAGAACAAGAGCATTAATAATGTGGCAAGCACTGTTGTAGGCCCTAGGAATTCAGCGGGGAGCAGAAAGATTGCAACTCCCTGCCAGGCCCGGGATAGCACGAGGTGAGCTGCGCACTGGTGGGAGGGCGAATGCAAGGGTGCGATGAAAATAATAATGAAATAAAATAACCAGCAATCAAGGTAAATAATGTTTTAATGCAACATTTTAAAGATTCTGAATTAATGCAAAAACGTTCATGAAGATCAAATTATCAAAAACTTAAAGACAGGGAAACCAAAATATGCCACCCGGAAGTATGCGGCCTTGGCATACTGATCATTTTGAGCAGGGGCACTAAGCACTTGAGAAACAGCAAATGCAGGGAGAGGAGTTCTCTGAATTCTTTTTACCTGCCTAAAGACAGATCCTCCAAAAGGAGCTCAGTTGTTACAGATTGTTGTAAATCCCTTCTGAGGAGTTTCATCAACAAGGGAAAATAGACTCCTTGCTACTGGAGAAGAGACACCACACCCAGACTTTGTCACAAACTCTTATATCTCCCATCTGTTTCTTTAAAGGCCCACTAATCTTTCCTAAAAATTATTTACTCTCCCTTAAGTGGCCTATATCTCCCTCCATTTGCTCTATTAATACTGAGTATCTGAAATATCACTGGTTTGGGAAATATTCACTGTTTTTTCCCCCGGGATGCCCTCACGCAGGTAATATTCAAAGTTAGTAAATTTGTATGCCCTTTGTCTGGGAACTCTGCCTGTTGTCAGTTGAATTTCATAGACCTAGCTATGGGACCTGGGAGGGTAGAGGGAAGGTCTTTCCTCCCCTAAGACAGGGTGCATTTCACCATGACTTTGGGCACCGCTCACCTCCCCAAATTCTCCCCCTGCGCCCTGCCTGGAGCTCACAGCAAAAATAAAGTAAATGAGGAAGATACTTTCTATGTGCCTTGCTGAGAGAAGAGCCACAGGGAGGGCGCAGTTGTAACTGAGTGGGCAGGCAAGTCGGGGCAGGTGAGATCCCAGCTTCCTGAGGAGCCGTTTGCTCTCGACGACGGCTCCCTCCTGCCTCCCGGTGACGCGAAAGGGCCAGGGCGCACGCTCACCGGGCGCGGGGCTGCGCGAGCGCTCGGCCGGCCAGAGCGAAGCGGGCCCTGCGGGAGGGCCGGCCCCGCTGCTGTGGCGGGCAGGCGGCCAGAGCCGCGATTCGCTGTCCTCTTCGAACACTGGGGAAATGGATAGGCAAATCCGAGAAAAAAATTGAAAGGAGCTGTGAGCAGCGTAAGTCTTGCAGGTGAAGGCCCCAGACTTTTGTTAAAACTCAGAAACAAGAGGAATGAAATGCAGCTAAACCCTAAATATCATCCAGACTGTATTGTGATCTGTGTGGCTTTTTAATCTTTGAAGACAACAGTGAGGGAAGATTGATAGCATTCCTAATTAGTTGACTGTGCCACCCACGGAGGAAACTCCCAATCATTTGTATAAATTCTACCCGTGGGAGGGGAGGGCCCATTCCTGGGGAGAGCAGCCCGCCCAGGGGCTACGCTGGAACCGAGAGAGGAGGGGAGGTGTGGCCCGGACAGAGTCAGCCGCCGCCTCCCAGGGCGTTCTCCCGCCGGCCGCCCGCTGCTTTGCGGTCTGTGTGCGCAGGCCAGGGAGGAGACTCCCACTCGTGCAGGCAGCTGAGGGCCGCTCAGCCTGATTCGCTCAGCTTCCCTTCTAAAGAGCATTCTCAAGGGTCATTGCTGCCCCAGAAGTCTTCAAAGGGACTTTCCCAAGGCCTCCCTGTCGCATGAAGCCACCCCCTGACCTCTCTGTAAGGTGGGAGTAGGCCAAGAGTGCCATGGCATGCAGAGCAAAGCCCAGCCCTCTGTCCGGCCTCTGCTGGGCCACGCTCTCCTGCGGGCTCCCTCGGAGGGAGCACACGCGGAAACACCCACAGACGGAGTCTCAGAAACAGGACTAGGTGTCCCTGCTCCCTAGCTGCGGCATGCAAAGTCACTCTCATACCAAATTTCTTTCCAGGGCATCTAAAAGTGACCTGCGCAACCATCTGAAAGCAGCCTTACCCGTGCTGGACAGTCACAGAGAAATCAGGCAACAGCCCTACTCCGGATGCTGGTCTGAGAAACCCCAGCGAAGGTCCCCTCAGGTCTGGCCTCAGGTCTGGCTCCCCTTGGGCCCCTCTCTCCTCACCCCTGTCACCACTTTAAAAATATTTTCTACTCTGTCATACATTCCTCTCCCTAACTTAAGGGCAATCTTTTCTGCATTTCCTCCTGTCTGAGAGTAGTTATGACAAGGACTCCATCCTCAACCAGACTTTGGACAGGCTCCTCCAACCCTCTTCTCGACTAGGCACCATCTGGGCCCGTGCTCGGCCTGCCTAAACCAATCCTAGCAAAGAAGCCCGCTAAGCCACCCCCCCCCTTGGTGTCTGCTCCCCTTGGCCTGCCTTCAGCAAGCATCCTGTTAAGTGGGTTTAGTGGGAAGCGCCCACCCTTGATGTGCCCTGCAGTGATTTTCCACTCTTCAACCCCCCACCCCGCCCGCTGCTCCTTGGCTGCAAATCCCCACGTGTATCCCCAGCTCCTTCCCCCGTTGCAGCCGCACCGAACAAAGTCCGTCTGGACTGTCTTGACTAGCGTCAGCTCTGTTTCTGCGTGACAGTTATCAAAGGCTGTGACCCGTGCTCGGCCTATAGCGGTGACGTAGACTGAAGGCAGAACGTTTCAGAGCTAACACTGGTTGGCTGGGCACACGGGGCCTTCAAAGTGGCTCCAGGAAGGACCACTACCATGTGATCCCGGCTCTGCCCTCCCTGCTCAGCAGCAAGCCCCCTGGCCCAGCCTCTCTCCTTAGAGAACCCCCTGCGGGTGGGGATGTGGTGAGTGGCTGGGCAAGTTCACCTCTTCTCACTTCTCCTTTTTGTCAGCACACTCTGAATCGCTTCTCGGGGCAAAAGAGGAGCACGTGAAGACAACGTGACCCCGTAGCTACTTGACATGAAATTGACTTCCCTTAGATATACATATGATGATTATGATGCATTTATTTCTAGCACCACTTATGAATATACAAATATAATTATGAAAATGTTTTTGCTCCCATCAGCATAGCAAGCAATTTAGACAACCCAGCGTGCAAAGCCAACACTCTAAATTTCCTGATTTTATGTATTCCAGGGGCCACACTGCCTTCTCCCTAGAAGGAGCATGGCAGCCTCGGCGGGCCAAGGCCTCTGCCTGGTCACAGATGCTGTGTTTCTTCTTCAGGTGACTTGTCCAGGTTCCAATCCACTAGGAATTCATCTCATATTGCAACCAGTGGATTCAGTATATCATTTCTAATTTGGAACATCTCTCTGTAGCTCCCAACCAGGGCCAGCCACGTAATTTGAGACACCCAGTGCAAAATGAAAATACAGGGCCCCCTGTTCAACAAACAGGGAAAACAAAGAGGCCAAGAAAGCTACTAAAATACCAAAGCTTTCCCCTTTCTTCCACAGTCTGTCTTGGCCTGTCATGGTATTTTTTATTTGCTATTGAAGGTCATGCTTTCCTGGGCACAGGGTAACTGTCGACTCCCACACTTGCGCAGGGCCCTGCCCAGTGACGTGGCCTGCACACAGCCCGCCAGCTGCTCCCACAGCCACGCCCACCCTGGATGCCGGGGCAAAGGCCCCTAACATCAACCCTCCACACGCACACCCAGGTCCCTGCTGACCACTGAGGGAGAGGAAGGCCAGGCTGGGACAACAAAGGGAGGGGGATCGAGCATTCAAGAACCTGTCTTGGAGAGGCAGCAAAGCAGCAGCAGGTGGCAGGACACATGGCCAGGGTCTAAGCCCCACGCCCGGCCCCATGTCCAATCAGACCTCCCTTATACAACACAAATTCCAAGACAGAATAATTAAGAATTTCAATACAGCAACCACAGAGCACTGAGCCCCAGGTGCAGGTCCCTGTGCCCCTACACAGGTTACATGTCCAGGAAACTGCCCTGCGCCCAGCATTGGCGGGAAGAAGTGCAATCCATACCTGGATGGAGGTCAAATTAGTTCCCCGGGGCTGCTGTGGCAAAGATAAGGTAGGTGGCTTCAAACAACATGTATTGTCTAACAGTTCTGGAGGCCAGGAGTCTGAAATCAGGGTGTCAGCAGGGCCACA